GTGATAGTTTTTTGAAGTGGGCGGTGAGCTTTTTCAAACTCGAAGATTAAAAATAATACACTTTATTACCTAATATTATATTATAACAACACTACAAATAATTGAACGTGAAATCAGAATAGTTGTAATTGCGTACGCTATACAACGGCATACGACCTGTTATCTAATCGCATTTTACGTATCGGGAACGTCTTGTTTATAATAGATTCATTTTTACATTTTCAACCATAACTGGACCATACTATACTCTATACTGTCTATACTGTACCTTGCAGTGCGTGATTGATATCGCTACGGTGAGAACGTCGCGTTTTCGAATAAACGAGTGTTTTTCTGACAAAATTAATAGACTTAATTTTTACTTGGTAATTTGAAATATAAATATTTTTATAATGAGTAGATCATGCCGACCATGGTGCATAAAAGAAGTGCCGTCAGTATAAGTAACGTACCTAAAGTTTGGTTTTATCRTGTCACCACTTAATAACAAATGTACAGTTACCGTTTTGCCTTATATTATGTGAAAAAAACATTTTCTAATGAGGCAATGAAGCTATCAAGATTGAAAGACCATCTATCAAAAATAAACTAGTGGTTGGTTAAAGAGGCCGTAGCGGCCCCCTCCCAGAAATTTTTAAAAGTAGAARCATTTTAGCGGTTAGGTAATGGCGAGTGTTCAGTATCTATATTTAAAAAAAATGATGTACCACCCCTCCTCCCACCACCAATTTTTTTCAGTTATGGCCTTGTATGTTTTCATGTATATTACATAATACAGATTATTATTTGGACAACTTACTATAACTTAAAAATAATTAAATTGAAACCTTGCAAATTTAGTCATATATTCCGAAATCCGGCGATCACGCATTCACGCGTATAGTAATCATGGTACATATACWAGCGATAATACATTTTYGACGCCACTTATTATTGCTGAATATACATGTGCACTTAGGACATCGATTCGAGCGTTCATCGGCCATCGCGAATGATTTATCGTGCGTTTGCTTGCATGAACAAGAGTACTGYGTACTTATATTTTGCATATTAAATAGATTTTTTTTTTCATCACATAAATAAATAAGCCCAGGCGTCTATGGCCATTGGCATACAAGGAGCTTAAGGTTAACAATTCCTAAGGATACAGTATTTACATAATAGGTAATACATTATACAAACGAKAACAGATTATAAACTATTTATAAGATTGGTTTTAACTAAAAAGGTCGTCRTATGAATGACTTATGACAGGTATCTCGATGGAGAGCATCCGACTTGATATATTTGATACCCCAGCTTCTCGTTTGCCCGTTTCATAAAAACGGCATTCGGGTACAATTTGTTTGATTGATAGGAGTGTACCGCAACTGGCGCATATGAATGGGCTTCTTGCTTCATCAAGTACTGGTGTGTTAGCGACGTATGTCCTTATATAGATATATGTATATAACTACTAAACTATTGCACTATATCTAGACACGCGGTAGCGTGTAAAGCCAAGTTCTATCTAGCTAATAGAACTGACGACAGCACCGTGTGTAATTTACACGAACCATTTGGAGCCACTTTTGACCCCCTCACCCCCATAACTCAAACTATATTCCACATAAACATGTCAAATTTGGCTTATATATTCAGACTTACAAGATACATATGCGCATCACGCTATACCGCCCTGACTTGGCCAAATAAGCATAAACAGAAAACGCGTAAAAAAAACCAGATACTGAATGGGCAATTCAATCAACCATTTCAAAAGTAAAAGAAAATAYAAGTAATAACACAAAAAAGACAATTATAACCCGTAAAGTTAGGGAAAATACAATAGTTTACAAAACCATTTGGAAATAATTKTATTATGAATAAGTAGGTATTAATAATTTACATACAGAAAGTAATGATATCCCACCAAAAACATATATTATGTAAAATGATAGCCAAGTTCAACACTATAATAAACGCCTTGGTTGTTGACTTCAACGACAAAAGAAGTGAGATCTAAATAATGGATGCCAAGTTCAATTGTCAGTCCCAGTCCCTAAAATTGTGTGTAGTACGACACACTTTGTGTAGTACAAAAAATTCAGTGTGTAGTACAAAATATAAAAGTGTGTTATAAAACCTTTATAATAATATTCTATAAAATTTTAATATAACAATTTGAAAAAACATGATTGTACGTAATTATTACATTTATTACAACATTTAATAATTATATGTTACAGGTATATATTATATATAGGTATATTTTACAAGTTACAAGATACAAATAATTTTGCAAAATTATGTGCTACAGGTATATGTATAGTTATATTTTTACAACTTAAAAAAAAAATACACTTATTACAAATTTAATCAGATTTCATTCTTATATTATTCTCCCCTAGTAAATTGTTCGCATACATTTTTTAATCAAGTTTGCATTATATGCTCTTTATGTAGTCGCTTGTAAGTTAATTGCCCTATTTCAATCAATGTTAATTATTTGGTATTATCACTTCGTTTTTCATATTTTTCAATAATTTCCAAATCGATGGATTTTTATTCCCAACCAAATGATTAAACGTATTATTCCAACTTTCACACACGTTGTTGGTTCTACTACTATCCAGTAAGGTATACTTTGATGCACATTCCACGTCGGGGGAGGGTATTGAGGTGGAGGTCGACGAAATCTAACGAAATCGTCATCAGTTCCTATTCTACGCAAAGGACCACTTACACAAACCGAATCAAAATAATCAAGTCTTCCGCGTCTGGAGGAACAACAGTTTTAAGATAATCCATTCCTTCTTTGAYGTGACTTGTTGGGAGAAAAGCTATACATAAAAATTGTTAGGCGCTAGTCCAAAAGTTCCATCCATATACCACTCTTTAGATTGACTCAATAAATGTATCATGTTGTCAGTACTCAGYACCAAACATTATAATCCTCTCATTAGCGTGTTTTCAGATTTATATTATCATATTTAGGTATTTTACAAATAAAATTAATAATTACGTACAATCATGTTTTTCGTATGATTTTATTRACGGGGACTWTTTTTCCGGCATTCCATTAAACATGACGTGATTGATTTTTATATCATAAACAATCYWGGCTTGACCGAGTTAATTGTGTACCTGGTAAGTATGGATAAAGAAACTCAAAAACTTCTGAAGACTCTTGTAATTTTTTTATATTTATTGATCGTTGTTGCTGGCGTGATTTGAATTCAGTTCATATACACCTACGGTTATCTGATTGCCTGAAAAAATGTAATTTACCTAAAATATAATATAATATTAATACCTATGCACTGCGTATAGACGTATATAGTAGTAACGAGAAATAAGAGCGCGTGTGTATTAAACCGAATACCGATAACCATCTTGCTAATATTTAAAGACCATGTGTACTGTAATAATAATATGTGTTAGACACAAATAGGGGGAGACTTTAGGAGCCAAGCTCCCTCAAATATTTCCTAAATTTAAAAACATTTTTTTTTTTTTTCATTCAATAGTAATCTTCTCGTCAAATCTCTTACACTTTTTGCGCCAATGCATACACCTATTAAGATTTACCGGCCTATGAAAATTAATTTTGAAAGATCTATCTCAATATATGAATTGTTTAATTGTAACTGCAATAGGCAGGGTAATTTTTATAATTTACATTATTCGACCATGAACTTACATCAACGGATGGTTAGTTTCTTCACTCAAGACTCCTGACTAGTTCACAAATTACGCAATAATATAATTGTGTAATATATAAAATAAATGTGATATTARTAAAAACAATATTCAAGGACACGAGTGTTTGATGTATTGGTATAATATCAAACGATCACGTTTTAAAGATATCTTAGTGAACAGTCGAAAAATCACCATGTGCGAAACAACACACTTGATCACTTGAGCACAATAAATAAATATGATAATAATATGATCGTCTGAAACGACKGTGTTTCCTTAGACCTATGATGTGACATCCAAAGAAATCGCTTGAGAGTTGAGATGCTGCGCGGCAACGTGTGGYGTCGYGACTTGTGAGTGCATCGGCAACGGTGCCTCACCGATCGGACAAAGAAAGAAAAACGGCGATCGCTGATGGTTATTGTGAGTGTGGGTATAATAGTATAATATTATTATACTTCTTATAATATTGTTTTTTAAATTTCTCGTGGTTGTATTCGCTCGCCGACCGTTGCCGACCGCTGCCGACGATCGGCGTCCGCGGTCCCCGTCGAGTATTATTATTATGGTATATTTTTTTTTATTTTTTTTCTATAGTAAGTTGTAGTAATGTTATCAGCAGTTGTAGTAATCCACGAGTAATTCCCCCTTCTCCTTTTCAGCCCACACAACCCGTAAACGACAAACCACAAAGTTGTTCGTAAATTCATATGCAGCAGCCAGCAGCTGATCGTCGCTGCGAGCGCGTGTTTTGGTAGTTGCTTGTTATTTGTTTAACCTCGGTGTGCGATGTGCTGACTTCTGAATTTCCGATGTTCATTAATCTCATAACTCATTAGCTACAGACGGTTACTATAAAACGGTTATAACGTTCTTGTTCTTCATTTTGTTTTTGTTTTAATGTTGATTTATATTTTTATTTCACACCTCGTGTATCTTGCACACGCGTGCTTGCGAACTCCCGCCGTCGCATAACAATAACAACAACAGTCAACAACAATAATAATAAATGTCTTCGCTGAGCTTGGCGTCGCACGCTGTGGTGATCAGTCTGTACTCTGTTGAGTGGCCTCTTGCAGTGAACGAAGTGGTGCACGCAACAGTTCAATACGTTTAATTATACGTTAATACAATTCTATCATCACCGTAAATGTGTATGGTGTGCACTAAGCGATTAAGCTTGGCGTGGCTGTAGTCCTTTACTTACGACAACGACCGACGACCGGTGTTTTGTTTTCTTCGACTGTCGTCAGTAACCGACCTGCCGACAGTGTTGTGTCCTCCCCTCTCTCTCTCTCCGGGTTACGACCGTTCTGGCCCCTTTATATTCAATACATCCGTGTTCGTCCGTTCGTCGATCGCGGTGACAAACGCAGCGGCAGTAACGTTCGCGCGCGCAATCAGGCGAAATATGAACAGTGAAAATGTGGTGTTTAGTGAGCCAACCGAACGCAGTCGTTATAGAAGTCAGGCTCGACCATAAGGCAAAAGGTCTGGAGTGCCTGGAGAAGGTAAACACAACGTATTTAGCTTACCTATACTTAGTTGTCGTCACTACTCGACATAATATACTGTTTCCAAGCTCCGGTGTCGATTGACTATTACAGAATCCAATACAGTACGACTGTGCTGATACCAATCACCAACCACTATTGTGCCATTATGCTTGTTACTGCTGTTAAAATGTCAAACTATGGCCAATAGTTTACTTCCTACTATGAGTGAAAAATTAAAAGTATTTGGCCTTATTTGACTGGTACAAAAAAAAAAAAAAAAAAA